TATTTTCCAGTTTTTGCAATGATAACTACTCGTCGTAGTCCATATACCGCATAGAAAAGTCGCACAAAAAATAATCGCATAGAAAAGGACCGCAGAAAAACAGGTTTGACTGTAATTCAACGCGAATTGAGATTCAGCAGGAGGTTTCGTTATACGGGTTTTTAATGCAATAGTGTGAGGGATGATATAGTGGGGATATTTTTTGGGCAGGGAATTTTCGACCTGTGATGGCATCGTTCTACTTTGACGCCTGGACTTTCAATTTGCTGTGCGTTTGTCGCGTGTGGCGGTTGGATGGTGGGATTTTATGCGGTATCGAAGTATTGGAACTTTGGGACTTCAATGAATTTATCTTGGGAATTCAAATGAAATTATTTATTTTCAAAATCATTTCGAATATTTGATATACAGCATTTAATATAGTTGACGTGTAATGTCTATAAAAAGATTTAACAATAGATTATTTTCAGTTTCTTCACATATTCCTTATAATATTCAAGTAGAACTATTTATTTTCAAAATCAATTCAAGTATTTACTGCTATTAACACTGCAATAGTATAATACCTATAAAAATTGTAACAATAGAATATTTTCAGTTTCTCCAAACTTTGGAGTTTTGGGGTTTCGGGGTTTCGGAACTTTTTAACGTTGGAGTATCGATATGTTGGAATTTTGGTTTAGAACTTGGGACTTCAGGATTTTTAAACATTGGAATATTAATATGCTGGTATTTTCAAATTTTGGTATTTTGAAATTTTGGTATTGTGGAATATTCTGATAATGGAATATTATAGTTTTGGAACTTTGGAACTTTTAAACATTGGAATATTGACATGCTGGAATTTTGAAATTTTGATATTTTGGAATATTGAAATATTAGGATATTAGAACTTTAGAACTTTATAACTTTAGAGCATTAGAACTTTAGAACTTTAGAACTTTAGAACTTTAGAACTTTAGAACTTTAGAACCTTAGAACCTTAGAACTTTAGAACTTTAGAACTTTAGAACTTTAGGACTTTCGAACTCCAAAACTCCAGAATTTCAAAAATAAAATTCCTAGTCCTCTATCAAACGTTCCCAAAACTCAACATAAAATTCTTACAAACTCAATCAACGAACACTCGAATCTCAAACGCGTCTGACGGTGCAAATAAAGAGGACATGTCTCAATTTTTCAACGCGAGTGCTCAAGGAAAGTGTCTGAAGTGTAGCAACGAACAAAAGTCAAGGCCTCCTCGACTTCCAAGCGCGATATCCTCGGGGCACGTTCCTCAGCTCCGTTCGAGCGGCCCGTGAAAGATGCATCGTGCTCAGGTAAGAGATATCATTCCGCTTGCAGCGACTGTCGACTGCGTGTAGCCCGCAGGAGAGCTCGTATCGCCTTTTTCCCCGGAAAAACCGATGCATTACGATTCCCGTGCATCCGGTCAGATTCAATTGCCTTTCATCCGGCGTCTCTGCGAGTGTTTCACCTGTTTCCCGTTCCGAGAAGCGGACGCTCGCGAGAATCGTCCTGCCAATATTGCTTTCTTAGACGAGATGCGTCTAAATTGCTTGTATCTTAATCCTTTGACTGCTAAACGCGTATATATACGCTCTCACAAGTCTATCAATATATACGAAAGGCGTAAATTTACATCCTTCTTTTTCAATGTTTTAGCTTTCAAGTTTTCACGTATACAACCTGCGAATTCTCTATTTTCACAACTTTTTGATTTTCGGAACTTTTAGCTTTTAAATGTTGAAATATTCCGGCTTCAGATTCCCTATTTTTACAATTTTAAAATTTTCAAATCTTTTAACTGTCGAATGTTCAAGCATTGAATCTTCACATTTTCTATTTTTTACAATTTTTCAATTTTCGAATCTTTTAGCTTTCAAATGTTGAAATATCCCAGCTTCAGATTCCCTAGTTTTACGATTTTTAAATTTTCAAATCTTTTAACTGTCGAATGTTCAAACATTAAATCTTCACATTTTCTATTTTTTACAATTTTTCAATTTTCGAATCTTTTAGCTTTCAAATGTTGAAATATCCCAGCTCCAGATTCCCTGTTTTTACAAGTTTTAAATTTTCGAATCTTCTAACTTTCAAGTGTTCAAGCATTCAAGCTCCAAATTCTCTATTTTTTACAATTTTTCAATTTTCGAAACTTTTATCTTTCAAATGTTCAAGCATTCAACCTTCAAATTACCTATTTTTACAATTGTTCAATTTTCGAATCTTTTAACTTTCAAATGTTCAAACATTCAACCTTTAAATTCTCTATGTTTCACAATTTTTCAATTTTCGAATCTTCTAACTTTCAAATGTTCAAGCATTCAACCTTCACACTCTATATTTTTTACAATTTTCCAATTTTCGAAACCGTAACTTTCAAATGTTCAAGCACTCAACCTTTAAATTCTCTATTTTTCACAATTTTTCAATTTTCGAATCTTCTAACTTTCAAATGTTCAAACATTCAACATTCAAATTCCCTATTTTTACAATTTTTAAATTTCCAAGTCTTTTAATTTTCGTATGTTCAAACATTCAACCTTCAAATTTTCCAATTTCTCCAGTTTCCCAATTGTCCAGTTCAACTTTCAAACGTTTCAACTGTCCAACTTTTAAATCTCTTTACTTCCGAACCTCGTAATCCCGAAACACCCAACTTTCGGCATAATGAAATATCCATACGTTCAAACATCGAAACGATCCCTTTGTGGCCAATCAAAGCGAGCACAATGTTTGCCACCACAAACGCTCCGTACTCCACGGGATGCGCTCTCTATAATTCACGTCCAATCAATGCATCACTAAAGGCAACCCAATAATTTCAATAATAATAATAATATTGCGGACACGCGAATTCATGAATACTGGCGGACGATGTTCTTTAAACTGGTACAATGTTCAGCGATGCGGCAATCTGGTACCGATGAATCCGTCGCGCTTTTCAGCGTCTCGCGGCTGACTTGTTCGCTGTTTTTCTCCTGAATTCATCCAGACGAAATCATCGGTGCGACGTGACAGAGATTTAACTTTTAAGTTAACTTTTAAGTTGAAACCAATGAAATTTTCGTTGTACAGTTGATACTATTATATATGTAGAGATATTTAAATAAGCGAAAACAAATAAATTTAATATATTTTCTTTTTAGTTGCCACAAATGAGAATATTTAACATTGATCAGTAACTTTCAGACTTTCTTACTTAACACTAGAACTACAAAGCATTTAATACGATTGATATGTAATATCTATAAAAATAGCAACGATAGATTATTGTCAGTTTCTTCAGACATCCATTATTCAAATGGAACTATTTATTTTCAAAATCATTTCGAATATTTAATACACAGCATTTAATGTAGTAGACGTGTAATATCTATAAAAATATTTAACAATAGATTATTGTCAGTTTTTTCACATATTCGTTATAATATTCAAATGAAACTATTTATTTTCAAAATCATTTCAAATATTCAATGCTTTTAACACTAGAACTATACAGCATTTAATATAGTTGACGTGTAATCTCTATAAAAATATTTAACAATAGATTATTTTCAGTTTCTTCACATATTCATTATAATATTCAAGTGAAACTATTTATTTTCAGAATGATTTAAAATATTTAATGCTTTTAGCATTGAAATAATATAATCCCTATAAAACTTGTAACAACAAAATATTTTCAGTTTCTCCAAACCCATATTATTCAAGTAAAACTATTTATATACTGATTATATATATATATATATATATAATATTCCAATGTATATATATTCGATGTTCTGAAAATATCAATAAACAATTCTGAGACAAAAAACCGAAACCAGTCAGCTTAATTCGTAAGTAGCCGTAGCGTTAGAAGCATGAATTCACGTCCATACTTAAAAGTTAATTAGCTCGGGGAAATTAGCGGTGGCACTTTTTCCATTGACAATCAGGCCGCGAAAGTGGACCGCGACACGAGCGATTCGCGTCCGGTTTTATTGCGAGCCGCTCGTCCCGCGGACGTGATCGATCCCGCGGGAAACTGGCCACCGGCAGCTACATCCACGCTGAAATTAAATTGCGAGTCGGGGAAATGATTGCCCCGCGACACGCAAAGAGAACGGACGTTTTTTTCCTGTTTCCCTTCCGACAGTGAGCTTCGTTTTATCGGCAGATTCTGACGGGGCGTTTTTGTAAGCCGGTTTTTTCCCCGTGTCGAGTAACTTGTTATTCGAGCTTCCGGGATCAGTAATTTCTTAGTTGAAAGTTCCAGTTGTCTTGCTTTAAAAATGAACGAAAATTGGAATAATTGAAGGGGTTGTGAAATAATCCTGTTTTGTGTTCGTTTCATTTTTCATATATTGATTTCAAGTTGAAATTTTTAATTTCTCAGTTGAAAGATTAAGTTCTCTTGACTTGGAAGTTAAGGAATATTGAAGGGGTATGAAATTATTTTGTTTTCGTTCGTTTAACTATTCGCATATTGATGTCAAGTTGAAATTTTTAGTTTCTTAGTTGAAAGATTAAGTTGTCCTGGTTCAGAAAGTAAAGAAAATTGAAGGGGTATGAAATTTTCTTGTTTCTGTTCGTTTAATTCTTCGCATATTGACTTCAAGTTGCAATTTTTAATTTCTTAGTTGAAAGTTTCAGTTGTCTTGGTTTAGAAATTAAAGAGAATTGGAAAAATTGATAGAGTATGCAATTATCTAGTCTTTGTTCGTTTAATCCTTCATATACCAATTTATCAAGAGTTACGGATGAAGTTATCTTCTTCATACAACGAAAGTGTTTCTCATATTTGGCAGATTTGATGGAAGAGTACTTATACAATTACTCTTCCATGATAAGCGATTAGCCGTGTGAACAGTTAATAGGATTAGTGTAACAACTCTCCGAATTCGCAGCCCACTCGCACTAATTCGTTAACCGTTAGACTTCACGTAATCCTTTTCACACTCTGCAACACTAAATCATAAGTGTGTTAAATTCAGTAACAGTTCGTTACTCACTTAATCGTCCTCCCAAAACACCTGAAATTTCATTTTATTCATTAATATTCATTATATACTAACTTACACATTTCTTCTGTACAAAATCTATGCAGTTCTTAATTGAGAATAAATTAACGTAACAGTTGGTAGTACCTTACCAGAATACTTCTGATCAATATTCTAATTAACCCTAACAATATATTATTGCATTGGAACAAGACAATACATCGTCTTGATGAATACAACTATTAGTATACAACTATTCTTGACCATGTGGCCCTTAAAAATATTTCGTTACAAAAATTCACGTGTACCACATGTGGTCACCGAATTGCTGAAGAACAGTTACAAATTTTTAAATTTTCAAATTCCAAAACTTTCAAATCTCTAAATTTTCAAATTTCTAAATTTTCAAATCTCTAGATTTCCAAATTTCAAAACCTTCAAATCTCTAGATTTTCAAATTTCTAAATTTTCAAATCTCCAGATTTTCAAATTTCTAAATTTTTAAATCTCTAAATTTTCAAATCTCCAGATTTCCAAATTTCTAAATTTTCAGATCTCTAAATTTTCAAATTTCTAAATTTTCAAATCTCTAGATTTCCAAATTTCTAAACTTCCAAATCTCTAGATTCTCAAATCTCCAAATTTTCAGATCTCTAAATTTTCAAATCTCTAAATTTTTAAATCTCTAAATTTTCAAATCTCTAAATTTTCAAATCTCCAAATTTCCAAACTTCTAAACTTCCAATTCTCTAGATTTTCAAATCTCCAAATTTTCAAATCTCTAAATTTTCAAATCCCCAGATTTCCAAATTTCTAAACTTGGATTTCTAGATTTCCGGTCACCGGTGACCGGAGCTTTCGAACTGCTGAAGAACAATTATAATAAAAAACTTGATTTTAAAGAGAAATATTTAGTAGCATAATTATCTAGATCACAGCGTAATATTACTCTGATGCTAAACTATTAATAATTATTTTCATCATCATTCGCCTTCGTTATTAAAGAATAAACATTCACGCTAGAAATTCTTGTGGCAGTCAACGTGAAAACGATCGTACGACTCACGCGCTACATCCATCGCACGAAAAATGTTGGAATTTAAATTTCGTTTAACACACGCGGTACACGTGGCACTGAACGTGTTAATCGTGAAGGTTTCTCCTCCGATCGGAAAACCCTCTCGGAAAGGTCGTCGAACACGAGCACTCCAATTATTTCACTGCCATTTCATTAAACCATCCCCGGAACTTCATTCCGACTCCCACCCCGAATAAATGGCATTCCCCAGGATCCGCAGTCATCTCGAAATCATCGTTTCCCCGACCGAAATCCAACATCCCTCCACAATCTTCAACACCGTGGGTGGATCACGGGGCGTAGCGTACGCTACACAATCGTCGTGACATGCACAAAGCGGCCGTGACGCGCATAATCGCGTTAGAAATGCCAACAGCCGAACATCCGACCCTCGCCGCGACCCAGAAACGCTTTTACTTGTCACCCTCTTCGGGCCGCCTCGTTCCACGGCTGAAAACGTGCGCCCTCTTCGTTCTTTAAATCGTCGATCGAATCGTGGGATCGAGGGACCTGGGTTCTGGGAAACTTTACAACAATGGCTCTTAACCAGTTAACTGTGTTCGACGAGTATACACGTCATCTTGAAACTCATAATGGTGCTGACTCTTTCAACGATGGATTATTTATTTTTTGAGACAAACATGTAATTTCTTCTTCGCTTCGCTTTAGCTTTTCGTTAGGATATATTTTAAGTGCATCTCGCCTGCATTTAATGAGTATACACTTCGTTATTTGATTCTATTGCGCCGAATGAGAGATTTTTCAAATTAAGTTCCATATTTAACTGGTTAACTGCAGATAGTTTTGTAATCTATGGCGGAAATTTGAAAGATTAGTCAAAGATATTTGTTTTATCGTGACATCATGTCCTAGATTTTTGATCCTCTTTCTTCAGACAAATCATTCCGATTTGTTCATAATATTTAATGCTATAAATGATGTAGTATATATAGTGTAAAGGGTGAAATTGAATTTAGAACGTCCAAATGTCACTTGTTTCGTTTCAATTCTAATTTAACCCTTCGCACTCGAGAGGTGACTCAGTCACCACTTGATTTGATGCAGGGAAACTATGAAGTTGAATATTTAGTACTTTAAATTAAACTTTGTATTGCTATGTGAAATATTTAAATGAAACAGCTTCGTCGCTTAATTTATCTGTGAATTATCGTTAGATTAGTTTCAGACAATGTCGTTTATATCTCGTCGGAAAATGTTGAATATTTCCAGTGAAAAACTTTCGAGTGCAAAGAGTTAACCCTTTGCGGACGAAGATTCTTTGAAATGTACAAAATCTTCAACAGATGAAGCTAAATTATATATTAATTGCTTAAATAATAGCGATAACAGGAAATACATGCTAATCACCTGCTATCCGAGTAATTAAATCATTTGCCTGCAATTTAGTCTTCCAAATACAAAAATTTCATCTCGAAATGTCGACATTCGTCCGCAAAGGTTTAATATTTCTGAATCTGCTACTTAATTTATCTATGAATTATCGTCAAATTAGTCTTTCGAGCGCAGAAAGTTTTTCAATGGAAATATTCAACATTTTCTGACGAGATATAGATGATATCGTTTGAACCTATTCTAACGATAATTCACAGAGAAATTAAGCAACAAAGATATTTAAATTAAACATTTCACATAATAATACAAAGCTTAATTTAAAGTAGTAAATATTTAATTTCATACTTTTTCTCTATCAAATCAAATGGTGAATGTTAAAAAATGTGAAACCTTAATTTAAAGTAATAAACATTTAATTCAATACTTTTTCTGTATCAAATCAAATTGTGAATATTAAAAAGTGTGAAACTTTAATTTAAAGTAATAAATATTTAATTTCATACTTTTGCTGTATCAAATCAAATTGTGAATGTTAAAAAGTGTGAAACTTTAATTTAAAGTAATAAATATTTAATTTCCTAATTCTGCTGCATCAAAGCAAATGGTGAATGAGAGTCACCTCTCGAGTGCAAAGGGTTAATAAGTCAGGAACGTTTCCAGCAGAAGGCTCGATCCGCGAATAATAATAAATTCCTCTTTTCGATTCACTCGAGCCAAGGACGAAACCCTCGGTCCCCTCGTTCCGCCGCGGTTCCCGTTAAACGTCGTCGCAATTAAACCGAGAAGCCCCGGGACTGTCCGCGAAAGGCCGTCATCGGCCACCGATGGAAATACCGTCGCCGTTCCGCAATTACAACCGCTGCCGGCTCATTTCCCGCGAGCTCGGGACGCCTACGGAAACGACGTTACAAAAGTGTCTCGAATAGAAGAACGAGATATCGGAGTAATCTCGCCAAGGCTGCGAAATGATCTCGCACAGTACGGCGAAACGCCAATTTTCTGAGCGAAACTCGATAAATTATACAGAAACTATAAGTGACAGGGAAAAATGTTTCAGACAAAAATTGTCGGGTATAGAGCTGGACACATGGTGGTTATACTTTTGTTTACATTATAGGGGTATCTTGCAGTTTCTTCGACGATAATGTATACTTCGCGATTCGATTCGAACGTTATATATAGAGAAACGGAGTGTATTCGCAGAAAATTCTTATTTTTCATATGGAAATCATTTTGTGTAGCAGGGACTAAGCGACATGATAATCTTCAATTTCCATGTGTTAGTAGAATTTGAGGTTTTGTCTACAGGCTGCATTGTGTGAGAGGAATCTTCGATTGAACGCTGAAATGTTAAATTCATTCTAAAAGGTTAGTTGTGTCACCGGTGACCCACAGCTAAATCGAATTACTATAGTTCACTCAATGAAACCATGATTATTTGAAAACATTTCTATATTATAAACAATGCTACCTAATGACATATTCCTTCCATTTCAAGTATTTGGTACCATTAGATGCACTGCTCGGTAGTTCTAGTGTTAAAAATTCAGTGGAAATAGCGTCAACGACGACGCATCGACGCGACGTAGATTCAATTCGAAAAATAATCTCGAAACTTTTGCACGCCACTGTACGCCCGAGGGAACCCACCGTCTGGATCGTACGAAATTAATTTCAGTATCGACGCACCGTCCAAAGTTGCCAATCACCGAAGTCTAAGCACGATCGAGCCCAAAGCAGGCACGCGGTCGCGGTTCCCCGCGGTTCGCAATTAACCGTCGCCGCGGCGTCGAATTTCCAGCACAAAGTATAAGCCCGCGTGCCTGTATAAACGCATTAGCCGCGTCGCAGCCGCGGCTAATTAGTTACAACGTCGGGAACCGGAGTTGGCGCCGCGAATGCTCGCTCGTTCCTTTCAATTACAAAAGTGCACGCTGCACGCGACGCATTCTCCGACCGCGCCGGATCACCTCGTGCTTCTCCAGTTTCAATCTTCTTTTCGAATGCATTGTCCGAGCTGTCTGACGCTTGTCACTGTCAACACTCGTTCCGATTACAATCCTCTGGATTGTTGTCTTATAATATTCACTCTTTGCATTCTATTGTCTTACGATGCTATTTATGGTGTTGTTTGGTTAGTGCTTCGTAGAAACACGAACAATCCTTTCGATTGCTGTGTTTTATAATTAATTTTACGCTTTTGATTTCGATTTTCGAATCTTTTAACTTTCGAATGTTCAAGCATTCAACCTTCACATTCTCTATTTTTCACAACTTTTCAATTTTCGAATCTTTTAACTTTCAAATGTTCAATTTACATTCTCTGTTTTTCACAACTTTTCAATTTTCAAATCTTCTAACTTTCGAATGTTCAAACATTCAACCTTCAAATTCTCTATTTTTCACAACTTTTCAATTTTCAAATCTTCTAACTTTCGAATGTTCAAGCATTCAACCTTCAAATTCTCTATTTTTCACAACTTTTCAATTTTCGAATCTTTTAACTTTCAACTGTTCAAGCATTTACATTCTCTGTTTTTTACAATTTTTCAATTTTCAAATCTTGTAACTTTCGAATGTTCAAGCATTCAAACTCCGAATT